GTTATCAACTTTGTTCTCATCCTAAATCCAAAACAATGGTATGGAATGTCCCTTTGGCCAGTTTGGCTGTGCCCCCTCCCAGCTTCTTGTGCACCTCCAGCCTTCTCAGTCGGTAGAGCATGGGAAACTGAAAAGTCCTTGACTAGTGTAAGCACTAGTTAGCGACAACTAAAACATCGGTGTGTTATCAACATTGTTCTCACCCTAAATCCAAAACACAGCACTGTACCAGCTACTAGGAAGGAAATTAACTCTATCCCTGCCAAAACCAGGACACTGGCTTTTACCTCTCTTAGGCTAAAAATGCGGTTTTCTGTATTTCCAGGGATCATCCACAGGACCGTCTGGGCCATCTGGGGTTTAAGCAGGTGGGAGTGCTGCTGCACGGACCTACCCCACAGCACTGACAGAGCCTCTACCTGCCCTTTACAAGGTTTGTGGTGAAGGTAAAGGCAGAGGGGAAAAAAGATACCATATTTTCCTTAGAGAGTGAGGCTGGGGGAGATTTGTAGGGATCAAAAATCCTTCAGCGTCTGAGAGTGATGGAGAGAGGGTGGATGTAACCTCTGCCTTTTGGACAGAGAACGTGTTGCTAACAGCCCAGCACAGGCAGGCATGCTCTGCCTGGCTGTGGCTGGGAGGCGGCAGGGTTTGCCCATGGAGAGGACTTGGCCAACCTATGACACAACCAGGTTTTTAATTGCAGGCAGCTGTGAATTCATGCTTAGGATCCATAGGGGAGCATGTCTCTGCAATGCAGGAGATAAGCTGGTGCCAGGCAGCCAAAAATCCCTGTGGCTTTATGTACAGAAAGGTGGGACTGGCCAGCAGCCCAGGATGGCCACCCGGGCCACCACAGCAGAGACAACTCGGCACTCGGTGGCCTGCAGCCATCACCTGCCTGCAGGAAGCCCCAGCTCTGCCCTGGAGCAGAAGTCCCTTTTCCAAATTTTACAACTTGGATGAGCAACACCGACTCCTCCTATGTATTAAATCCTTTCTAAAAGTTGAGTGAATAACAAAATACTAGTGAAAATCTTTCTCTGCAGTGGGTGCAGGGAAATCTCAGCTGCACCAGGAGCTGCTGAGACAGATGGAGCGGGAGAAGGATGGGTGTTCTCAGGCGGTGCAAGAGTGACACACACACAGGCAGGAAGGCAAGTTCTGCTGTTTATTCATGATATTACTCAGGGAAGGGGGAATCAACTGTAGCTAAGGCAAACCCCCGCCGTGGTGCATTTCCCAAGAGCCAGGGCAGCAGCAACTCCTGCCCACAGCAGCTCTGCAGGGCACAGTGAGGACAGCGGCATCTGCAATGGGATGGGAGAGGAGGGTCAGGGAGCGGGGGCCATGCCTCGCCACACCATGTATGTCCCCCCAGTCCTTCCCCCCCCGTCCTGCATGAGGTTCCCAGCAACATTTTGCTGCAGGACAGGTCACTCTTGTCACCTGTCCATGGCCATTTCCCCACTGCAGCAACCCTGTGTCTTACATCAGGCATTGGCAGAAGGAGAGACTCCAGGAAGCTGCTTGGCTGCGTGTGGCAGTGGCTTTATAAACCAGCGCCAGCACGCCCACCTTACCAGAATGCGCCCAGCTTCCTCCTCCGGTTGATGTCTCTCTTAATTTGGCAAACGGAGCACATGGGGCACCACATGGTGATACAGCAGTCAGAGCAAATGGACCCCTGTTAGAAGGAAATTGGTTAGGGACAGAGGCTTCCCAAAAGCCATGTTTCGGCCAAGAAAAGGTTAATCACATTCCACGTCGTGTGCCCTTTGTTTCCTGGCTGGCTGCAGCATCCTGAGTAGCAGACACTAAAAACCGGGGCTGGCAATCCCCCCCACAGTGGAAAGGAAG